CCCTAACTTACATTCATACACATACTAGGGACAATTTAGACAGGAGCCAATTAACCTACTCACATGTCTTTGGAATGTGGGAGGAATCCGGAGCACCTGGAGGAAATCCATGCAAGCACAGGGAGAACATGCAAGCTCCAGGCAGGTGATACCATGGTTAGGATTTGTACCAACAACACTAGTACTGCCAGGAGGAAGTGCTAACCATTTAGCCACTGTGCTGCCCACCTGTTGTCACAGTTACTGCACAATAACAGAGGTTTTTAGGTATAAGGACATACATTACCTCCTCCCATGATGCAGTACTCAGGCCAAACAGCCAATCATCAGGCTCAAATACTGTCATGTGAGGAGGACCACACCATCAATATAAGTGGATTGGGAAATGGGCTTCACTCCTAGTCTCTTTAAAGTGTGACTGTGTTTAAAAAAAAAAAGAAAAAAACAACATATATGATGAAGTCTGTAGATAACATTAGCACAGCTAATTTCTGTCCTCCTGTACAGTGTTGTTCTACCTTTTGATCCTGCCAATAATTCTGTTTTCTGCAATAAGCAAAGCTGTCCAGCAAAAGTGCTTAGAGAAATTGAGAAAAAGCATGCAACACAGGCAGGAGTTCCTATATTGGGCAGCTTTAATTCAAGCCTAAAACTTTCCTCCTCCCAAAAAAGAAAACAAATAGCTGTAACTGCTCAAAAAACGTTAGCTGGAGTTGGGGTTAACTTGTTTTTCTTTCTTACTTAAAAAGGAACTCCACTTTTGCTGAGAAAAAAAAAGCATTCCCTCTGGGTAACCTATGCACATTGCAAGGATTTTAACAAACATTGTTGCAATTTCCTACCTTTTGTTATTCTGAAAAAGTAGCAGTTTGTCTGTGTCCATGTGCTGAGTCAATCTGTATGGGAGTGGTTTTGGAATTATAACTCAGCTTCTGCACGTGCATGGATCTAATGAGGAAATTGGCAAGGTCTGCATTCCTTCGGACATGCTTTCACTCTGGCATTTCACCAAAAATTGCAAGGGAGGCCCACAATCTCACTTTTATCTTAGTGCAGACTTCTGGGAAAATCAATAGGCCAATCACACAAGCAGAAAATGACATTTAGGGGGCTGTTCTGTACACCATTACAGAATTCCTGTCTTTCTGAGTCCTCCTGTACAGTGTTGTTCTACCACTTGACCCTGCCAGTAACTCTGTTTTCTGCAATAAGCCAAGCTGTCCAGCAAAAGTGGTTAGAGAAGTTGAGAAAAAGCATGCAACACAGGCAGGGTTTCCTACATTGGGCAGAAAATGACATTTAGAGGGCTGTTATGTACACCGTTACAGAAAGCCTCCAGGTTGCCATATTGCATTTCATTTTACAGAAACTAACAGCACTGCAGATTGAAAAGGAAAAAATATTTTTAATAACATTCAATTACAATATGCCTTGTAGCAATTGTATATGCTATATTCGTTTTTTTCACAGAAAAGTGGAGTTTACCCTTTAAATCCCATTTAAAACTGTAGGGGAGATTCGCAAATACTGGAGCACACAGAACCTGGTGCAGCTGTGCATGGTAGCCATTCGGCTTCTAACGTCAGCTTGTTAAATTAAGCTCTGACAATAAAACCTGAAAGCTGATTGGTCTCTATGCAGAGCTGCACCAGATTTTGCACTCTCCAGTTTTAGTAAATCTTCCCCTGTGTGTCTATCTACAACTATAATGTGTCCCTAACAGATCTACTGGCAGGCTAAAAAATAAATAAATAAAATAAAAAACTTATGTAGAGATGGCTGTTATTGCTACTAAAATATTAAATCTTATATGCAGTTTTTTTTTTATTTTCACATCGTTAAACTTGAAATAAAAAGGCATGTGACTGCTTTGGGTAAATGTGCGTTGCACTTCTGTACTGAAGTCTACTACAGAAAGTAATACTGATAAAGGATATCGCTCTAGAATCACTGCTGGTAACTAAGTATAAAAGTGAAAGACATACATTCTTGAGCATCAGTTATTAGGCACCCTGAGTACTTTAAGGCTGTATATACCAAATGACTCTCATTGTCTGTGTTACAGACAAGCTATATCAACAAAGCTCATACTATAAGTACAATAGGAATGGTGGCTGGACTGGTTTCATTGAAGATACTGCACCAAAAGGATGGTCATTCAGTTAAATCTGGCCCAGGTAGATAATTGCAGAGCTGGCAACATGCATGCAGCTGGCCAGTGAGTAAAGATGACACATTGCTTATGTATATTAAGACCAATCGCATGCTGGTGTTGAGATTTTTTTCCCCCCACTTCAAGTGGGTTTTTTATTCCCATACAAATTAATGGGAATGCAAAACTTGCATGAAGCAGGTCAACTGAAGGTCAAAGTTCCCATCAATGAATTCTGAATGATTTCAGAAATGTCTTAAACTGATACCATCGGCAGAAGCCCAATGTCTGTTGGCATAGACTGTTTGCAATGCTGTAGGCTCTTCTGTTATGTTTTTGATTCCATGAATAATAGGCCTTGAACAAGAAAGGACAGAGATGGATCTCCTGACCACATTACCTCTGAGGCTCAGGAAAATACCATGGTACACCATCAATGGCATCTACTGCCATCTTTCACAAAACACAATGGGTCGGGTAAAGAAAAAAATCAAAAAACAGATTAATGGCCGTGTGAACATAACCTAAACTGTACTGGTCCTTTAAGCGGAGTACCAGCCATTTTAGTGTTTATTAAAAGTCAGCAGCTACAAAACCTGTGGCTGCTGACTTTTACTAAACACGCATTTACCTGTCCCAGGGTCCCACCTGCGCGGTCCCTTCTCTAAGCCACGGCGCCATCATCTCAGCTATGGGCACCAGGCTGTAACAGCTTGCGGCTTCACAGCCTGGTGCCCACTGCACATGCGCAGGCTGTGGCAAACTGAGCCGGAAGTGGGAGAGGGTACCTGTCAAATCGGGTGCCTGCTCCCCCCCCAAAAAAGTGCCAAATATGGCAGTGGAGGGGGGGGGGGGGGGGGGGGAGGAGACAAATAAGGAGCTTCCACTTTTGAGTGGAACTCCGCTTTAAATTTTTTTTTTTTTTTTTAAACTTTGCTGCAGTGGAGTTTGGACCACAATGTACCATCTATGTTTAGAACTCATAGAACATATAATGAAAGTCTGCAGATGGTTAATTCAAATTGATTGGGTCAGTTGTGAAGATAAGTTAACAGAACCAAAACACACCATTTGTTTGGTCCCATTGATCCACCTTTCAAGTACTTGTCCAGGTAACGTGAGATATCCTACAAATAGTTCCACAAGTCCGAGTGAAGTATTCCAACAACATCTGGCTAGAATCATTAACAAAATAAAGGAAAAAAAACCCTCCATGGTGCACACTTTATGTCATCGTGTCTCAGTCTCTGTAGCTGCAGCAGAAGGAAACATTCAGACTGTTAATGTTTCAGAGAATGATCAATCCTTAAGGAACTGGTGGTAGTTTGTAGATAGAAGGACCATACTGTGCAACAATAAGGATGCCTCAGACACTGTAAAAGGGAAAACACACCTAATATATTTAGGCTGCTTAAGGGAAACATGACAGCATTTAATATATGTTAATACATAGCAATACTGATAATTATTCATGCAAACTTGAAACTCTTCAATAACATAATTCTTCATAGCAGGTAAAGTGCAAAGTTCTTAAGGTGCATGCAGTATCTTTGATGTATCTGTATCCAGTATGCCTAAACAGCCTCAACCCTAGTTGCATTGACAAAATGGCTTTGTTTTTTCATACTAACAAAGATGATAGTTGATCCCTGATCTCTGGATGCTGCATTTAAATCTTAGTATTTGTATTAACTGCTGACACTTGTCTACAGTGACAACAGCACTACAGACCTCCTGTCAGTTTGGACAGCAACCTGAAAATATATTGCATCTCCAGTCAGCCCCACTCATGCTATCCCTGTGATGACTATCTGATTTATGTTGCTCACCTTAAAAATTAGTAGCCCATGACTATTTAGTACCTGTGCAGCTACGTAGCTAGGAAGGGCGATAGTGTGACTTAGGACGGAGAGAAGCTTTATATATGTATTATAAATTATCATATATATTTTCTTTCATAAGCTATTTATTTTGATTTGTAGTGCTGATACTTTATTCTCAACACTTTATAGACAACACTGGATCATTCCTGTTCAAGAAGTGTCGCTACCCATCATTCCCGCAAGCATATACAGTAGGGCAAGTTTAGGTGGAAGCCAACTACTCTATTAGAAAGCAGGGGAAACATACACAGTGTAAGTATAGTGTTGGAATGCAGCAAAAACCTGGTGAAAATCCAGCACTGCAAACTAAGAGTCCTAGCCACTTGGCCATATAGCCACCTGTTAGTTATATTTATGTTTGGCTGAACAAACAGTTCAGCCACTGACTCCCATATGTGCAAGGGAAATATACGGCAACTGCTCAATGACAGCAGGTCAAACTTTACATTAACATGGTGAAGAGTTTAAAGTGTTACCAAACCCACAACAGTAAAATCAGTCTGTATATTCAGTAAAGCATGCTTGCTATACTCACTGCGGAACCTAAGGGGTTAATCCTCTAAATTGTGTAAAAAGGATGTTTGATCCTCTCTCCTCTGATTCTCCCCGTCTTCCAGTGTCTACTAAATATCTCCTGATAGAACAGAGGCTCTGGGGCAAGCTGCACATGCTTAGTTTGCGGTGTATTGCTAGAGAGTTTTTTTTTTCTTTGGAGAGTGCACATGATCAACACTCTCCAGACAGAGGTCAGGGGTTCTGCATCCTCCTACAGGAGAATGAAAACTCATCCAACAAGCTGTAACCAGTGCTCTGCTGGACACTGATAGAAGTCACAAGACTACTCTAACGGCTGTTGAGAAAATATATTTAGCAGTTTATATTTACTATAATAATTGCATTTCCATGTTGTGTGTACTGTGGGAGACCAGATATAGTGAACGCAGGGTCCTGGGTTTAGTAACACTTTAATAAGTATACAGTAGTGTCTTACCTTCCAAGTCTCTAGACAGCTGGATCCAGCAGCTTAACCACCTTCTGCAAGCTTCTGTACCAAGATGAGCAGAATTCAGCCCTCGGATGTAACACGCCTGATGATTGCAACAAGCAAAGTCACACAATTATCACATGCAGCAGAATAACCTGTAACACTTATTCCCAGGCTACTGCTGCACCACTTTCTTACTTTCTTAAAAAGAACTCATCTTTGAACTGCCATTACTGACTTTTTCAAAGTACATGCTAAGGGACAGCTAACCTTTTCCTTGTTGCATTACCAAGTGAGTCATTGACCTGCCATTTTGTGGTCACGACTGTCATTCATGAACACCTTTCACAGTATATGTGACAGGACTGCACAGCTTCCAAATCCACTAGGACAGTGGTGGGCAACCTTTTTTTTCAACTGAGCCAAATCTCGCCAAAACCACGATTGAAATTTATTTTGAGAGCCACATTTTTAAAACTGAAAATACATAGGATGGTACACTGTTTTTAGTTTCAATAAGTTTTTATAGTAATTCATCCCCCATAGTAATTCATCCCCCATATAGTAATTCATCCCCCATAGTAATTCATCCCCCATATAGTAATTCATCCCCCATATAGTAATTCATCCCCCCTATAGTAATTCATCCCCCCTATAGTAATTCATCCCCCCTATAGTAATTCATCCCCCCTATAGTAATTCATCCCCCAAATAGTAATTCATCCCCCATAGTAATTCATCCCCCATATAGTAATTCATCCCCCATAGTAATTCATCCCCCCTATAGTAATTCATCCCCCATAGTAATTCATCCCCCCTATAGTAATTCATCCCCCATATAGTAATTCATCCCCCATAGTAATTCATCCCCCATATAGTAATTCATCCCCCATATAGTAATTCATCCCCCCTATAGTAATTCATCCCCCCTATAGTAATTCATCCCCCCTATAGTAATTCATCCCCCATATAGTAATTCATCCCCCCTATAGTAATTCATCCCCCATAGTAATTCATCCCCCCTATAATAATTCATCCCCCATATTAATTCATCCCTCATATAGTAGTAGTAAGTAAGTAGCAAGTAGTAAGCCAAGTCCCCCCTGTGTCAATTTACTTACCTTTGCTCCGCGCGTTCCTCTCGCCGTGTTCCCGCGCCGTTCCGGTCTTCAGGGCGGACTGTGAGAGGAGCCTAGCTCCTCTTACGTTCGTCACGCTGCCCCGCCTACACACATCCTGACAGCCAATCACTGGCTATCAGGATGTGAGTGGCAGCGAGACTGGCCAATCATTGCATTTGAGCGCGCTGCCCTGGCTGTTTTTTTTTTGGATCACGCTGCAGAGTCCCTGCCGCCCGAGAGGAGGGAGGGGAGCGGGCGCGCCGGCACACAAGAGCCGCATTAAAGCGTGTAAAGAGCCGCATGTGGCTCGCGAGCCGCGGCTTGCCGACCACTGCACTAGGAAGTGCAGAGCTTCAACAGTGCATGTGACAGCTCCTGGACTCTCTATGGAAACATCTGCTCGGTAGCTGACAATGGAAGCTCAGCTTAAAAAAAACAAGAATGGCCTGTCAATGTCTGTCTCTAGAATGTTCTCCAAATATAGAACTTTGGTTTGAGTGGAGTTGCTATTAAAAGTATTCATTTGTAAGCTCCAAACCATAGGGAGACATCAAAGCAGGCACCTACACATACATCAAATGCTTATTATTACTTGTGAGCGAATAAGGTGAATTTCTATAAATAGGTGAAATACAAAAATTATAAATAAAATAAAAAAATGAATAAATGTGTCTTGAATCAAAACTAATAAAAATTAAATCACCTTATTATAAAGGCACAAATAGGTTCGCAAACACATCACACCAACTCATAAATAGTGTCAGAATCTATGTAAAAACAAATAACTGTGCTGCGCTCCTATATTGATGTAAATAAACTATAAAAAACAGTGTAAGTCCTTACCATATATAATCCAAACAGTACACAAAATTACTTAAATGATCCCTTTAGGATATAGAGAAATATTGTGTCCAATATCAAAAATAAAGTAAAATCCTCCTTTTCTGAGAGATGGGTACAAATAGGTGAATTCACTCCAACATATAGATGTTTGCGGTATATATGAAGCTCAATTATGCGCTCACCTCCATTTTTAGCCCAAAAATGTAGGCTAAACAAGCTGTTTATCCTAAAAGGATAAAATGTGCACTGATGTTCACCACCTTCTTTGAATGTGTTCACAGCGTGATTTCCTGATTATCCACCTGGTGCCTCTCCTCTCATTACTATCCTATGCAGATCTGTGGATGTATGGATGGATATTTCCTCCTCCTCACCTCCAAGGGGAATAATCCTCCTAGATCCACTCCAGAAGTCTCCACATATATAATGCCAAAGAAAGAACAAAAGATAGTGCTTTACCCTTATAAAACACTTTATTGCATAGCCATTATATTGCACTCACATTTTCATAATTAAAACAAGCCTTAATGCATATCTCCTTGTGTGCACCGCACACTAGCAGTACTCGCCGTATGAAAGCCGACTGGGCGTGGTGACGTCAGAGCCCCTCCCCTATGCGCTACGCCACTGGTCACGTGGCTTCATCAGGGGGAATTGATTCTCCTTTTAGAATAAAGTTTGTTTAGCCTGTATTTTTGGGCTAAAAATGGAGGTGAGCGCATAATTGAGCTTCTAATATACCGCAATCATCTATATGTTGAAGTGAATTCACCTATTTGTACCCATCTCTCAGAAAAGGAGGATTTTACTTTATTTTTGATATTGGACACATAATAATGTTATTACACTAATATTTCTCTATATCCTAAAGGGATCATTTAAGTAATTTTGTGTACTGTTTAGATTATATATGGTAAGGACTTACACTGTTTTTTATAGTTTATTTACATCAGGCATGTCCAAAGTCCGGCCCGGGGGTCGGTTTAATACGGCCCTCCAACAGCCCTCCCTGCTCTGTGTAATGTGGCCCTCCCACAGCCCTCCCTTCTATGGCAGACAGTCTTCTGCTTGAGAGCAGTGCGCATGCCTGACTGCGGCGCGTTCTCCCTGGTCTGTGTAAATGCGGCTGTCGCACGGCCCTCCCTTCTGTGGCAGACAGTCTTCTGCTTGAGACCAGTGCGCATGCGTGACTGCGCCGCGCTGGGAGCGACAGAGGGCGGTGACATCAGGGCCGGGCTTCCAGCGTGAAGTGTGTTTCTCTTCCCCTCCCGACTGCCGAGCAGAGACTTCAGCTCCAGCTACCTTTTTCACCCTTCACATTAGTGCAGGTAAGTTTTTTTTTTAATTTATTTTCAATACATTGTGAAAACTCAGCTGTCAGTTGATCTTAATGTTATAAAATGAAAAGTATGTCGTTTGCAATTAACTTGGCATAAAATAATTTATTTGCATTTAATTGTAATGGTTCAAAGAATGTTCGAAAAAATGTTCGGCCCTCCACCATGTTCACTTTATCCAATCTGGCCCTCTTTGAAAAAAGTTTGGACACCCCTGATTTACATCAATATAGGAGCGCAGCACAGTTATTTGTTTTCACCTACACATACATACTAGGTTTTTTTTTTTTTTTTACAAAGAATAGGTGCAGGTATTCAATGACCTGGAGGAGAGTAGTAAAGGATGGGTGTGGTCAAACTGCACTGATAATAGAGCATAGTTAAACTCCGGAAAAATGTGTTTTTTATTCCCCCTGCAGTGGAGCTGTGCCCACACTGCCTGGCTTAACTGCTTGTTTTTGTCTAGGGGTTTGCAGAGATATACTCACCTAATCCGCCATTTCTCCACGCACAAGACTGGTCCCTGCTGCTTCTGCCCCCCACTAGGGAGTTTCAGTGAGTGAAAGCAACGGTTCACTTCAAACACCATTACACAGTAAGGAAAGGGTTTGCTGATGCCACGTCAGCATGTGAAAAAAAAATCACTAACAGCAATATAAAAAGTGCCTTTTGTTTGAAACAAACTTTGAGCTAATTTGAATTTTGAAGAGCTTTTGTAGAATGAATAAAATTATCTAACCCTTTTTACTTCCTCATCAGTAAGTTCATCGACCCCAAGTTGAAGCAGCGAAGTGTCCAGGTGCCAAATCTCTAAAATGTGCGATCTGAGACGGCGCTTCAGGAAAAAGCCTGGGAGGTGTGGTGTCAGGAACATAACGCGGCTTAAAGCTTTCTGCAGAAAACAAAAGGCTGTATCAGATATCCACATCATGTCATAGGACACTACTTCCTAAACCTGCCCTGGCCTCAGAAACAAGGCAGGCTTTGTGGGCTTCCCAGGAGCACAGGTGTTACACTGGCTGCTTTATGAAGTATGAAGAAAGATCCAAAAGACAAGCACTGCCAGAGAGACCCAACCAACCATCATGAAAGCATAACCACATTCAAAGGGGAACATTACATTGTGTCTACAGGTAACAGAATAGAAACATTCTCCTCTGAAAGGTCTGCAGCATTCAGCACCTTTATAAGGGCAAATATGTACCATCAGAGGAGAATGTAAATACAAGAATATTCCTGCAGTTCTGTGGAAAGTTGGAAAATGAAATTATATTATAGCAGGATGATATATGGTTTACAGGTTGCCCCTAGCAACCCTAGTGTGGTACACACCATTAGGAAATCTGAAGAAAAATTCCACACAAGGAATAATCATTCGATTTTGGTATAGTGTGTAAAAAAACTTTTGATTCAGACTTTCTAAACAAAAATTTCCGAAGGGACAAACTCCAAATTTTTTTTCGTACGTGAACAGAACAAACAATTTTCAATTAACGTGTACTGTTTTTGTACAAGAAAAATCAAATACGAACAACTGCACATGAACAGAAATAACAAACAATAACCTATGCTACAACGTTTCTACATCAAACAAAAAAAAAATAGCCTTTGTCATTTGAGAATTTTTATACAATTAGTACCATTGTCGGATTTGACTTGATGTGAAACATTAAGGAAACTGAACGATCATTCACCCAATTTTCTTATAGTGTGTATCCAGCTCTAAGCTGGCCATACATTATACAATTTTCTTGTTCAATTTCCTTCACATTTACTCTCATCTATGTAGTACAAGGGCCTTTTTGATTGGATACAAATTGAAAGTGTTTAGGTTTGATGTCAAATTATATGGTTTTGATAAATCTAAAGGAAAAATTGTACAAGATTGTATAATGTGTTGCCAGCCTTATTCTATGTTTATGTTCCACACTGGCCACAGTTCAGTTTCCTGGGATTCATTTATTGTAAATCAGCCCTAATGTGTCTCAAAATCTACCTACTCAAATTAATGTTAAGATCTTGTTTAGAGAGCCGTGGCCAAGCAGCCAATGTGAGAGGATGCTGGTCTCCTCACTGCCGCCGAAAAAACGAACTCTGCTATACATCAGCTTCACCGGCCTCCTCTCCCAATGGCTCTCCACGGCGCATTCCACTTATTTATACCCGCTCTCCCTCCCAATCCAACCTGCAGCAGAGAACAAGCACCACAGCCATGACTAGGAAGAACAGGGAGGAGGATGAAGGGCTGGACTGGAGCAGCCAAGAGATGGGGCCAGTCCGCTCCCTCCTCATGCTCACCAGAGGGACAGAAGCACAGATGCAGCTGCCAAACTGGAATGCCTTGCTGGGGTGCCTGCCAAGGAGTCTCAGACATCTCCTGCTATCATCTCAGCTACCTCCCCTACTGCTGGCCAGGAGTTGCTACTATTAGGATCTTGGGAACCAACAATATTTTGCCACCAAATAATACCATTTGAGGAATATCCAATTCTGTCATACACAGAGGGGGGCCTGAGAAAGCGGCTTTGATTGCTTCAATGTCCACCAACTGGGGATGAACTCCATTCTGCACCTGGAATAGAAAGGTTTGTTATACAACTGGGAACTATGATGTACACTGCTTTATAAAAATGAAATAACATTACTGAGTAAACTATGGAGTTGTATTGCAGAGCTAAAGGTCTTCAGTTCAATTCCCACCCAGGATGTTAGTGTTATTTACATTGAATCCATATGTTATCCCTGTGGGGTTTCTCCAACACAAAAAAAAACATACTGGCAGGTAATCAGTTTTCAATCAATCTGTCTCTGGGGTTTTTTTTTTTTTTTTTTTTTATACATCTGTCTTCCTGTTGAATGGACCCTATATTAAAGGTCCTACAGGGTAGAACTAATGGGAATCTCTTCAAAGTACTATAGAATATGGTGGTTCCATATAAATGCAATAGGCAAAAACACATAGTTTAAGCACTAAATCTTAATTTCTCAAGCAGAAGCCAGAAGGAGGTATCTGTAGAGTTCCCCCATCACTTCAGGTATACATAGGTACGCCTGTCAATTCTGCTATCCCCATGAGCTTTTAGGAGTTTTATGAGTTGGCTATGGGGAATAAAAGACATTGCTCAGGCCCGGTTATGATAGGGAGGCAGTGAGCACCCCTGTTACTGCTCAAGTACAGAGACAGACAACAGTGCAGTATCAGCTTGCTTATCACTGTTCTAAAATCAACACAGAAGCGGCAACTGTCACTCTTTGTTGTCTCCAGTGTTGCTACCCTGACTGGTGTTAGTGAAGTGGACTTAGAGCAAACTCAGCCCCATAAATCTACAACGGGATGGTGAGGAGACCGGTCACCCAGTGTAAAAGCAACCTGATCAGGAGAAACACACACAATGACATTTGCAGATGTCCCCTGATGTACCAAAGAGTATGCAAGAAAAAACATCTGTTGTAAATAACACTACCCATTTAAACAAATGTCTGCAGAGTTGTTCACTGTAAACTTGTAATTTTCTAATGCTGATGTTTTTTAAAATCAATATAAAGGCAGGCATGGGCATGTACGATCAACATATATTCAGACTGTTCTTGATGTGGACCTGTGTATTACCATCTGTGATATAGTATAAAAATTACCTGTGTAAACAACTGGACCATATTATTGTGCAGAGGCTCCTCAGAGACTTTAGAAGTTGCAATTTGTAAACTTTCTAGTACATCCTCGTAGACCTCTTCTCTCATGCTATGGTAAATTTCCAAAAACTCCTGTTGTTGTTTGGGAGTCCAAAAATGCCGGATTAACATCTGGCGAGGAAAAAAATACCTGAAAAGAGAAGAAAGAGCGAGAGCCTTGCATTTACTATAAGGATTGCTGAAAACGCTTAAGATGTTTAAAAGGCAAAATATGAAAGTAGTGCTAATACATCAAAAGATATGTGCTTCACCCATTAGTGACTAATGTGTTGTTATTTACACACAACTGTCAGTCACTGTGCTCACACCCTGCAGCATTCACATAAAGATAAGGGAGAAGCTACAAAAATGTTTCAGCTTATGATGACACATGGGTACAAAAACAGCAGAAGTGAGCAAAAGCAATGTATTACATGCATCCTTTTCATTTCTCTCTCAATACACTTCAGTAAAATTCATCCAGCCAAGAGGAAAAGCCAATAATGTTTTAGCTTCTGCTGCTTTATACACCCAAATTTGTCATCTGACACAACACATCATGCCTCAACTAATTTACATAAGCTTAAAAAGGGAAAACACTAAAGCAGAGTCTTCATATTTCAGATATTTGCTTCTTTAAAATCGTAAAACAAAATCTAATCAGTAAAAATCCTTAATTTCAGGCACTGCAAGGTACCCGCTATTGCAATTATAAAAATAGTGCCACGCTATTAAAATGGTGTAAAATATATTAAAACTTCTAGTTTTAACATATTTTGCACCATTATAATAGTGCCGGCTGTTTTCTACACATATTTAAATATATTATTTATATTTATTTGTGTTTTCATTTCATCACACACACACACACACACACACACACACACACACACACATATATATATATATATACATACATACATATACATACATATATACACATACATATATATATATATATATATATATATATATATATATATATATATATTTGTACCACGTTTCACTACTATATGTACACTAATCGGCCACTTTATTAGATTATTAGATACACTTGTTCAATTGTTTGGTAACATAAATTGCTAATTGGGAAATCACATAGCAGCAACTCAATGCATTTAGGCACGTGGTGAAGACAACGTCCTGAAATTTAAACCAAGCATCAGAATGGGAAAGAAAGGGGATTTAAGTGACTTTGAACATGACATGGTTGTTGGTGCCAGACTGGCTGGTCTGAGTATTTCAAAAATCTACTGGGATTTTAACGCACAACCATATCTAGGGTTTACAGAGAATGGTCAGAAAAAGATAACATTTGTAGTGAGGGGCAGTTGTGTGGACAAAAATGCTTTGTTGATGTCAGAGGAGAATGGGCAGACTGGTTGCTGCGACATTCAGATGGTAGGGTCAGAATTAGGCGTAAGCAACATGAAAGCATGGATCCATCCTGCTTTGCATCCACGCTTCAGGTTGTTGGTGGTGGTGGTGTAATGGTGTAAGGCAGTGGTCTCCAAACTGTGGCCCTAGGGCCAGATGCAGCCCTTTGCTTGCCTTTATCTGGCCCTTGGGGACTATTCCTCCATCAACAGTGGGGCATAATTCCTGCCACCGACACGAATGATGGGGCACTATTACTCCCACTAATATTAATGATGTAACAGCATTCCTCCCACTGAAACCAACAATGGGGCAGTATTCCTCCCACTGGCTCCAACAATGGGGCACTAGGTCTTCAACTGATACTATTTATGCCACGAATACCAATGATGATTACCCTAAGGTAATGTTTATTCTCATTGATGCTAGGTCAGGGACATTTTCTACTCCTGCTAGCCACAATATGGGCCCTTGAAAGTCTGAAGGACAGTAAACTGGCCCTTTGTTTGAAACATTTGGAGACCCTTGGTGTAGAGGATTTTTTCTTGGCACTAGCATGGAGGTGGCCAGTGATTGTATATTGGTGAGCATTTTCTGTGCATCTCTGTACTCCTGGTTTCTCCTGGTTTAGCAGCACTCCCCACAGCTAAGCTTAGAGGGTGAAGTCAGAAATGATTAGAGGAGCACCCAGGCAAAGGTTTTCCAGTTAACAAAAGTAAAAACAGTCACCATAAATGTACTTTTAAAGAAAAAAATAAAATTATATATATATTTTCTTTATTTAAAACTTCATTAAAAGATACAGTTTTCAGAAAGTGGATGAGTGTCTCAGGCTTAGCTGAGCAGTATTGATACAGCACTTGTAAGAAAGCCAAAGACAGTATATACATTTGCAAAGAACGGTGCACAAGATATAAGTTTAGTATTCTTATCCTGCTAAATCCACTTTTGGTATAACTATCATTCATTCTCACACTTGACAACTGCGTCTGGTCTCCAAGGGGCTAGTAAGCCGGTGGCACAGAAACACAATGGACACCTTCAGCTGCCTCTGTGCTCTTCCTGAGCTTCTAATGAGTCCCTGCACCATTAAGGAGGATTGAGCTCCCTCCAGGCATACCTGCCGTTAAAGTGGTTGTAAACCTAAAAAAAACACACAAATCAATCTAATCCTACAGTTGAATAGCTTTTACCCTTACTAAGCATTTGAGCTTAGTTTGGTATCTTGAAGCAATCCCCTTCTCCAGAAATAACCCCCTGAAAAATGGTGTCGCCACTCCCCTTCTCCTGTGAGTGACAGGCTGTGCTGAAGAAAAGACCAGCATGAGCCTCCATGTAATACACTGCAAAGGGGTGGGGGAGCGGGTGTCCTCTCCATGCTGGTCTCTGCCTTCACAAAATCAAGAACTCAGTACCAGTGATTTATGACATAGATCGGCATCACTTCAGTAATGCTGTAGTTATCTAGGTAAGTCTGCTGACAGCTGATTACTGCCCTGCTCTAGTCACAGCACCTAGCTTGTGAATTGCTGTTTACAAAGTTTTACATGAGAATGTTTCCCTGGTCCATATTGCCGCATTAGGCTGCAGGATTCCTAGGCATTTTACCGTTAACCCCTTCCTACCAACTTTCTCCTGATTGTGTGACATCATATCTCCGCCTACTATTCTCTAATCCTAAGCCACGCCCACAGACCAGCAGTTATTGGAGGGCTGAGACAAGCTAAGGGAGCATTTTTCTGAGGTACACTCACAGATGTATGCATGTTGCCATTAAAATGTATTAATTTATGGCAAAACGTAATTTTTTTTATATTAGTTTTTACAACCACTTTAAATCATCCATTGCTATATGTGCTCCAATATGGAGTCTGTCAAATATAAGAATTAGGAACTCAGTGTGTACTGTACAGGTGAAACTCGAAAAATTAGAATATCGTGCAAAAGTTCATTTATTTCAGTAATGCAACTTAAAAGGTGAAACCAATATATGAGACAGACTCATTACATGCAAAGCAAGATAGTTCAAGCCGTGATTTGTCATAATTGTGATGATTATGGCTTACAGCTCATGAAAACCCCAAATCCACAATCTCAGAAAATTAGAATATTACATGCAATCAATAAAACAAGGATTGTACATAGAACAATATCGGACCTCTGAAAAATATAAGCATGCATATGTACTCAGAACTTGGTTTGGGCCCCTTTTGCAGCAATTACTGCCTCAATGCGGCGTGGCATGGAAGCTATCAGCCTGTGGCACTGCTGAGGTGTTATGGAAGACCAGGATGCTTCAATAGCGGCCTTCAGCTCTTCTGCATTGTTCGATCTCATGTCTCTCATCTTTCTCTTGGCGATGCCCCATAGATTCTCTATGGGGTTCAGGTCAGGCGAGTTTGCTGGCCAATCAAGCACAGTAATCCCACGGTCATTGAACCAGGTTTTGGTGCTTTTGGCAGTGTGGGCAGGTGCCAAGTCCTGCTGGAAAATGAAGTCAGCATCCCCATAAAGCTCGTCTGCGGAAGGAAGCATGAAGTGATCCAAAATCTCCTGGTAGACGGCTACGTTGACCCTAGACTTAGTGAAGCACAGTGGACCAACACCAGCAGATGACATGGCTCCCCAAATCAACACAGACTGTGGAAACTTCACACTGGGCTTCAAGCATCTTGCAGTGTGTGCCTCTCCATTCTTCCTCCGTACTCTGGGTCCTCGGTTTCCAAATGAGATGCAAAAGTTGCTCTCATCAGAAAAGAGGACTTTGGACCACTGAGCAGCAGACCAGGTCTGTTTTTCTTTAGCCCAGGTAAGACGCTTCTGACGTTTGTTGTTCAGGAGCGGCTTGACAAGAGGAATACGACATTTGAAGCCCATGTCCAGGATCCGTCTGTGTGTGGTGGCTCTTGATGCACTGACTCCAGCCTCAGTCCACTCCTTGTGAAAGTCCCCAACACTTTTGAATGGCCTTTTCCTGACAATCCTCTCCAGGCTGCGGTCATCCCTGCTGCTTGTGCACCTTTTTCTTCCACACTTTTCCCTTCCACATAACTTTCTATTGATGTACTTTGATACAGCACTTTGGGAACATCCAACTTCTTTTGCAATTACCTTTTGAGGCTTTCCCTCCTTATGGAGGGTGTCAATGATGGTTTTCTGCACAACTGTCAGGTCAGCAGTCTTTCCCATGATTGTGATTCCTACTGAACCAGACTGAGAGACCAATTAAAGGCTCAGGAACCCTTTGCAGGTGTTCTAGCTTAATTAGCTGATTAGAGTGGGACACTTTGAGCCTAGAATATTGCACCTTTTCACAATATTCTCATTTTCCGAGATTGTGGATTTGGGGCTTTCATGAGCTGTAAGCCATAATCATCACAATTATGACAAATCACGGCTTGAACTATCTTGCTTTGCATGTAATGAGTCCGTCTCATATATTAGTTTCACCTTTTAAGTTGCATTACTGAAATAAATGAACTTTTGCACGAAATTCAAATTTTTGAGGTTCATCTGTAAGTGTATTGGGAGAACTTTTGTTAGTTTGCAGTAGCCTGATGGTAACCGTGATGTTTGGATGATAATCAGTTTTTTCAAAAAAGAATTTCCTACCAGGAGAATATATGGAGTCACTTCACTACATAACAGAGTGATCTCCCATGACTAGGGCAAGCCCCTGGAGGTGAAGGAAAAGGGAAGGAAGGGGGGGGGGGGGGGGGGGGTTGGGTCAGAAAAATTCAGCCATAAAGTTATGGCTGATCGGTGTACACTGTAATATCATGTCATTTAACAGTAGAAATGTCTGTACTATACTTACATGAGGACAAAGACAAAGTAATTGGCAAAGGGTGGAATTGAAATGATCATCACTGGTGCTGCTTTAATAATATCTCTTCGGAACTAAGGGAGACAGAGAAAGGCTATATGGAAAAAAAAACACAAATGCAACACAAATGCAGATTGAAAGAAGAAGACAAACACATTCAACAAAACAATGTGACTTGTAATTAGGTCACAAATGTAAAAATTCCATTTAAATACTTTCTATGACACACCTTTGCACTGCTTCCCTGCAGAGAGCTAGAGTTTCACACAGTAAGAATATGCACACCTTTTGTATTGATGTGCTTGGAATGTATGTAGCCAATTCAAACTGAAAGTTTATATGTCCTTTAACAACTTTGCTTTCAGGACAATTTTGTAATTTTTTTTTTTACACGCAAGCACGCACGCACGCAGGCACGCACGTTAAAAATCAGCATTGCTGAACATAATTTTAATACAAAAACACTCTAATGAATTTGAATGCACACAAACACAATAAAACACCCAATTTATGGTCCAATATAAAAAAAATGGGGCTGCTTCAAGTAAATAGATACCATAAATGTCAAGCCTCTACAACACCCTTTATGAATTCCCCGAAGCTTTTCTAATGATGTCCAATACTGGGATGAAAAATAGCTACACTCACATTGCACAAAATTAGGTAAAATTGGTTCTCTTTTAAAGCAAGATCTGCCTTCATGTTAGTTTGGAGTTCTACTTATTTATGCCCATGTGGAATCCTTGTAAATGATTATAAAGCTGTGTTGTATTGCGTATACAAACATACCTGCCTCAGTTTCTCCATTTCCCTGTAAGGCAGTTGGTAATATTTTAATCCTTGACTTATCATATTCTTCTTGATCACGTGTACTTCTTTCCCATCTAACAACACCATCCGAAAGCCTGTAGAGTAGAAGACAAGGGGGTTAAATTTACTAAAACTGTACGGTGCAAAATGTGGTGCAGCTTTGCATAGAAACCAATCAGCTTCCAGGTTTTATTGTCAAAGCTTAACTGAACAAGCTGAACTTAGAAGCCGACTCGCTACCATGCACAGATGCACCAGCTATTGCACTCTCCAGTTTTAGTAAATAATCTCCAAGATCACTCAAGCATTGTGACATTACCGGGTACCAGCAAAACTAGTATGAGCACCAAAGCCAAGGTATTCCAATAAATAAAGGTCAATTATTTTAGGTTGACCACACACTACAGGACAACAGTTAACACTTTCTTCCAGCAATGTCCTTAACTATGATTAGAATTTTACCTTTCATAAAAGTGGAATATAGCGTATAAAAATTGGGGAACTTTCTTTCCAAAAACTGCTCATATCTTGCATTCAGATGTCTGGCCTTCGACGTTAATATGGATAGAATGGTTCGTGGCTTCTGGTTTGTTGACAAATGGCATGGCTGGTAACTGGGAAAATAATGAATTGTATTTGTTGGTACCGAACACAGTGAGCACACACTTTAAAACATTTTTTTTAAAATTTATATTGCATAGTTATGAGCCACTTGAGTAGCTAAAAGGTGGCTTATAAAACATCCCCCACCTGCCGTTCATTTCTCCATTGTTGGTGCGAAGAAATATACAGGACACAGCTTTTATGTCTGAGCTTTCCCATAAATACCCCTCTGCCTGCTTGCTGCTTGTTTTGGAGACGAATTGGTGAGGTTTTGGCACCATTCCCAGTGCAGGGTGCTTGATGCTTTTGGCAAAACCAAGGTAAGCATGGATTAAAAGGGACAATAAACTCTGGTTAAAAAAAAAATCTATTCAAACATGTTTCCTTAATTCCAAAAAAGTACCTTCTAGTGCTTTCACCCTCCTCTAAATCACCAGACTCTTCCTTTTTGCTGTTGTAATCTGTCATCTTGTTAGAGGGTGGCTACGTTCATTCTCCATGCTCCCACTGTACAGGAATGTAGCCACCTTCTCTTGCTCACTTCTGAGATGGACTAGGGACTATGGACTGTGGGATGTGTGTGTAGTGTGTTCCTTCCAAACAAATGGAAGGAAAGTAAAAGGAGAGGTTCAGGCGCTCATGGAAGACAATATAAGGAGGCAGAAGTCAATCAGCAAATATTTAAAGATGAACTCCAGTCAAAACTTTTATTTTCCCAGGCAGTGGGGCTGTGCCAGCACTGCATGGGTTAAGTGCTAGTTTTGTCCATGGGCTCAGGGAAAAGCTGTACTTACCCATTCCTCTGATCCTTCGGAAAACTGTGCTCCCCCCCACGTCCAATGGTGGACTGTTCCTGCAGTCTTCACGTCCAAAGCTGGTCTATGGGCGTGATGACATCAGGAACAACCCATTCACAAGACGGCTAGCGTGCAAAGGGGGGGGGGGGCAGGGACCGGTCTTGCGCTCAAAGGAATGGTGGATTAGGTAATTATAATTATAATTATCTTTGCTTTCTGAGACCAAAGACAAAAACAAGAATTTAACCCATGCATTGTGGGCACAGCCCCACTGCATGGAAAAATAATAATTTTGCCCGGAATTCTTCCTTAATGAAAAATAGTACTGCAAGATAATTAAATAGTAAAGCCATTGTTTAGTGTCACATTAAGAGGTTAACTTCAGTGGTATCACTCAGGATTAGGGTAAGGATTAAGGGATCTATGAATAAAACATTTGGTAGGCGAATGTCGCAAGCAATAAATACTATTATTTCATATGATTACCAGCTCTATCTGGTGGATAAAATGTGGAATATTTTTCCGGAATGCCTCAATCTGAAGCAGCCTGTGTCCCAGCAAACCAATGAAGCAAATTCAAAACACAATCATACAGATGACGCATAATCCCCCACCAACCCTCGTTTCTGATAAATATGGCCTGTCTCTATATGTCAACTTGAGTTGGTCTTAATTACCTCCAGTTATCTATGACCTGGCAGAAATTCTTTTTTTGTCACACGGACACCGTGAAAGTGGAGCAAATAAGACCAACCTGAAACTGTCACGTGACTGAAATCTTACTAAAACTGCCACAAGGCTTTCATGAATTCAGTGCAGAACTTTCTAATGGGCCAATACTGGCATAAAAGTGTCAAAAATACTTTATATTGAATTGTTCCCCCCTGTCTGTGCGAAAGCTGCAGCCAGATCTGTATCCTGGATGAGCGGTTAAGACCACGTTTGCATGGGGGTGCACAGAGGTTGCATGAATCCATGCCAGTAGTCACATAGATGTACACTGGAACACATGGCTCCACAGATACAGCTGTTGTGTCCCAATGTGACATCCACGCAGGTGCGGGTGCACGATCCTGAACACACCCTGGCTGCATTTGGGGCTGTGCACCTGCACCTGCATGGATATCACATTGGGAGCATGCGGCTGTGTGTCAAATATGCATCTATGGGACTGCTGGCACAAGGATGCACATAACACCTGTGCATCCCTACGCACCTAACACACAGCCCTTAACGAGACATTAACCAATCACCCAGTGTGGATGAGGCCTTTCATGTGATTAGGGACCCTGACCAACCCTGGACAGACAGTTTGCATGTAAGGATGCATAAGGAGAGCAGAAGTGTAGCACAATGGATTTATTTATGACAAGCAACAAACTGCACACTTACAAAATAAGTAAAAACAAAAAAAGGCGCTATCTGTTGTAGGTTCCGCCTGCCATGGCCACTTCACACTGGGAGACACACTGGTAGAAGGATCCTTGGTGGTGCTGGTGGCTTCCAGCACTTCCTGGATGATCCAGAGGCTCTGTGGGCATCGGGCATGATGCCAGTTCGTCAGGTACGTAGCATGCTCCTTCTTCAGGCCGTCAGCGGTTTTCCTTAATGAGTATCTGTTTTTACTTCTTATGTTGTAAGTGTGCAATTTACTGCTTGTCATAAATAAACCCATTGTGCTACACTCAGATCAGCACTGCTTCTCTCCGTATGCTTGTTTGCAGAGTCTCTTCTAACTCTATACAGCAGCAGCCTCTGGATTATAGCCCTGGAATACCCATATACTCTCTTCTCCTTGTATCATTGGGGACTGTGTTTCCCTTGCTGAGCGCTAGATTTCCTTACATTGTGTGATGCATCTCAGGATGGTGTTTCTGGCCCTATAAAAAAACTGCAGCTAATGGCGTTGGGTCCAGATGCAACATTTGAACACAGTAGACTATCCACTCTCCTTCATCCATCTGAATGAGGCCTTATGGTGACCATAGTCTTAAGATCTGATTAACCACTTGCCCTCCTGAGGATTTACCCCCCTTCCTGACCAGGCCATTTTTTTTCATTATGGCGCTGCGTTACTTTGACAATTGCATGGTTATGCAATGCTGCACCCAAATGAAATGTACGTTCTTTTTTCTTACAAATAGAGCTCTCTTTCAGTGGTATTTGATCGCCTGTGCATTTTTAATTTTTTTGCACTATAATAATAATAAAAAAAAAAAAAGACTGACATCTTTGAGAAAAAATACAATATTTTTGACTTTTTGCTATTAAACATGTCCAGTAAAAAATTTTTAAAAAATCTAATTTTGTCATAAATTGAGGCCAAAATGTATTCTGCCACATGTCTTTGCTAAAAAAAAATCCCAATACGTATAAATTAATTGGCTTATGTGAAATTTGTAGCGTTTACAATTGGCGGTATATATACTGGGGTTTTTTTTTTTTTGTTTGTTTTTTTTTTTAACATTTTTACTAATAACGGCAGTGATCCGAGACTGCGGCAGGCATTCTGACACTGGGGGGAACGGACTTGGTGTCACTGACATCAATACAATGATAATTGCTAGTAAAAGCACTGACACTGTACAAATGGCACTGGCAGGAAGGGGTTAACATGTGGGCGATCAAAGGGTTAACTGTGTGTTTTACTATGGGGCTGCGTGTTCACTGTAAGAACACTGCTTTGCATGGCTGTGATAAAATACACCTACCTGCCTGCTCACAGTCTTCTACGGCATGTAAACTGAGCTGTGCATGCACAGGAGTTACAACAACCCAAGGCAGCCAATGGAGATACCTGAAGATTGGCACCTGGGGAAATGACAGTGATGGCGAGGGACCCAGACCATTAGAGAGGAGGAAAGTTTAATGACATTAGTTCTGTTTTAACAATGATGAGCTCATATGTGTTCAGACACGAGTCCAAACCCAACTGAGCTATCCCACCGGGAAGTTGTCAAAGCTGACAGCCAATCATAGGCAACTGAGGCATTCCCCACATATGTGTGACCATGGGGCAGGGAATGCTTGAGATAGCTTTCCATCGGAATAGCACAGTTGGGTAAGGACATGTGGCTGAACACGTCTGAGCTCATCCCTAAGGCTAGGTTCACACTATTGCGGCTCTGTGAGTAAAGTTTGCGCAGGCTCATTTGAATGGGCTGCTGTGCTTGTGTTTCATGCAGGAAAAAGATCCCTGCACCATTTTTAAAATGCAACTGCAGAGAAATCGCATGGTACTTTTGCACCATGTGATTTCCTGGCAGTTCCTGCACCTGCAAATGTGCTGTTTTTAGATGAGGGTACTATTAAGAATGAATGGCAACCCTGCTTGTCTGTAAAGAGCAGTGCGTTTTGGCTGCGTGTACAGAAACACATGTGATTCCCACACCCACATTAGTGTAAACCTAATGTAGTACATGTACTACTTTTGGAAATGCACTGCAACCAGATTACATGGTGGTTTTGTATCATGCAATCCAGTGCAGGCAAACGCACTGCAACCACTGTTTGGGGTGTCGTTAACATTGCACTGACACCTGCTGCAGATCACAAGGGCAGTGCGTGTTGAACGCTGTGTGGGAAATGCTCATTGATCGCAAGTTTCCCACACCGTGTTCTAGTGTGAACTGGAGCTGATTGTGAAGTGTATGGTGCACTGGTCTTATCTGTTGCTGATTGTATGTCTTTGGACAATAACACCTGGTCACACTGATCCTGACTTTAAATTGTGTGAATTACAGCGAAGTCACATGATTTCAAAGTTGGGCGACATACCAATTTGATGTATGATTTGCAAGATATCTGACACAGATGTCTATGCAAATCGCACCAAAAGTAGTACATGTACTACTTTAGAAATCGGTGCAGATCTGATCAAGTCGGAACCGCACCGATATGACCGCTGTAATTGCAGACAATAGGGTGTGACTTGCAATTCGCATGGCAGGCAAAGTCGCACCCAGTATGACTGGGGTCTAAGGCTAGGTACATGCTGTTGTGGATGTAATACAGCGTGTAAATTGCACCAATTGCTGAACCTGCGACCACCTGCAGCCAACATGTGCTGCTCATTTACAAATCCACAAGGCTGCCATTCATTCCAAATGGCACTCCCATGCATCTGAAAACACAGCGCGTTTCGGGTGCAGGAAGTTCACATGGTGCAAAAGCAACATGCGATCTCCCTGAAGCAGCGGTTTTTTTAAACGGTGTAAAGGACTTTTTTCCAGCATTTTCCACAGGTACAGCAACCCTTTTAAATGAAATGACTGCTGTGCCCACACAAACATTGCAGCAAACACATAGGTGAGAAGCGATAATTGCCCACCAATACGATCATATATAAAAATCATTCTGTGTATGGCCATTGGAGAGATCTCCTGTCACCACACTGCCCTGCACACTGTTCCTCATGATGATGGTCGTTAGCAGCAGGTGCTGTCATGATGGCAACCATGTGACATCTAATGACACCCACACACCTACCCCTCCCCGGTCCTCTCATCCCCGGCTACTCACAGCGTTATAATACATTTCATGAGGCGCCGGTCCCCTCCATCCATCCCCAACCTGTACAGCGCCATGTTCTAGGAGGAGAGCCGCCTCGCTCATCTGCAAGGTCAGTAGTGCACAGGTCACATGACAGGACACGGTGACGGGGAGGCCATGTTTGTTGAGGGCACGGAGCCTCTTCCCTGCTCTGAGGAGGATGTGCAGTGGCTGGATCTCTGGGATGGGAAGACTCTGCAGTGGAAGTAGGAGGTCAAGGAAACTTCAACATTGCAAGGCTGAAGAGAGACCTGGGAATTAGAATAAAAGTGTAGGTAGTATGGAGCAGCTTGTATAGTTCTTGTCTCTCAGCACCATTGTGAAATGAAGTCTAGTTGTCTTTACCAGCCACTAGATGGCAACAGTGCCTTATGGGAGAACTATGGACTCTGACATTGCTGGGCCACTGAAAATGCTAATTATCTGGCACGTAAGGAACTGAAAAACATGTCTGAAAGCCAGTGAACTCTAACAAAAGAAGATGTCTGTCTACATAACTCTGTCATGACAGGTGTACTGAATGGGATCCCATATCCTCCCCCTTCATAGCTATTATAGGCAAAAATAGATCTCAGATGCTGCCTGGCTCTCGGCGGACCCCCTGCGTGCCGCCTGGCTCTCGGCAGACCCCCTGCGTGCCGCCTGGCTCTCGGCAGACCCCCTGCGTGCCGCCTGGCTCTCGGCAGACCCCCTGCGTGCCGCCTGGCTCTCGGCAGACCCCCTGCGTGCCGCCTGGCTCTCGGCAGACCCCCTGCGTGCCGCCTGGCTCTCGGCAGACCCCCTGCGTGCCGCCTGGCTCTCGGCAGACCCCCTGCGTGCCGCCTGGCTCTCGGCAGACCCCCCTGCGTGCCGCCTGGCTCTCGGCAGACCCCCCTGCGTGCCGCCTGGCTCTTCGGCAGACCCCCTGCGTGCCGCCTGCTTCGGCAGACCCCCCTGCGTGCCGCCTGGCTCTCGGCAGACCCCCCTGCGTGCTGCCTGACTCTCTGGCAGACCCCCTGCGTGCCCGCCTGGCTCTCGGCAGACCCCCTGCGTGCCGCCTGGCTCTCGGCAGACCCCCTGCGTGCCCCGCCTGGCTCTCGGCAAGCCCCCTGCGTGCCCCGCCTGGCTCTCGGCAGACCCCCTGCGTGTCGCCTGGCTCTCGGCAGACCCCCTGCGTGCCGCCTGGCTCTCAGCATGGACCCTCTGCATGCCGCTTGGCTCTCCACTGACATGGCTTTATGTGGATCCCCTAAATGCTGCCTGACTTCTTGTGGAATTCTGTGTGCCATCTGTTTTTCCTCAAGCCCCCTGCGCCCCGCCTGGCTCTCTGCAAGCCCCCTGTGCCCCGCCTTGCTCTCTGCAAGCCCCCTACAACCCCGCCTGGCTCTCCGCAAGCCCCCTGTGCCCCGCCTGGCTCTCCGCAAGCCCCCTGCACCCCGCCTGGCTCTCAGCAGACCTTTGCACCCCGCCTGGCTCTCTGCAAGCCCCCTGCACCCCGCCTGGCTCTCTGCAAGCCCCTTGCGCCCCGCCTGGCTCTCAGCAGACCTTTGCACCCTGCCTGGCTCTCTGTAAACCCTCTGCACCCTGCCTGGCTCTCCAACAGACCTCTGTATGCTACCTGGCTCTCCGTGGACCCCTGGCTCTCCAACAGACCTCTGTATGCTACCTGGCTCTCCGTGGACCCCTGCGCCCTGCCTGACACACCGCAGACCTCTGTGTGTTATCTGGATCTCCACAGACTCCCCCGTGCTGCACCTGGTTCTTCTCGGACCCTGTGTGTGCTGCTTGTCTCTGTGTGAGCCCTCTGCACCCCAGCTTGCTCTCTGGAGACCCTCTGCACCCCACCTTGCTCTCTGCGGAATCTCTTTGCACCATCTGGCAGAATGAGAGAACCGCCTTGCGTCTGTCATTACCTTATATGGCGGGCGGGAGGCGGTTAAAAGTTCTGCAAATACTTGAGTCTCATGAGGTGCAGTCCTTTGGAGTCTAGCTAGCCATTTCTAGATTTGAAAGTGGAACTAAACCCATCAATTTAAAAAAAGTTACATTCCTCTCTTTTATGCCAGGAATGCTAATTGTCACATTTGCTTGTGTTCTCAACTGAACTGTCAAACCATCATTACGGCTGAAGTTCTAACTGATCACATATGCAGCACCATGGCAGATTAAGCAGAGGTTTAAGATGGCAGCTTCCTTGGATGAAAATATAAGAGGGTTTAGTCCCTTTTTAACTACAGAGATGGGGCACTAAATGTGCATTTGCTTTAGGCCTGGTTCGCACCAGAGCAGTTTGCTTTTGATCTGTTTTTGAAGTGCTTTTTGCTTTGTGTTCTTACACCTGTTTTTTTTTTACCGCATTTTGATACGTTTTTCAGCGTTAGAGCATTTTTACAGCTAAAAAACTCTTCTAGAAACCCACTAGTCCTGGGGTTTTTTTGCAGCCAAAAAATGTTGATTACAGTCTGTGTGCATGGACACATAGGATAACATGCTGGGGGTTTACTAGTTGTAGAAAAAAAACCATCAAAAGCCAAAAACAGCCGCTGTAAAAACGTCAAGTGTGCATGAAGACTACGGGGTTTATTTACCAAAACTGGAGAGTACAAAATCTGGTGCAGCTGTGCATGGTAGCCAATCAGCTTCCAGGTTTTATTGTCAAAGCTTAATTGAATAACCTGAAGTTAGAAGCTGATTGGCTACCATGCACAGCTGCACCAGATTTTGCACTCTGCAGTTTTGGTAAACCAACGCTTAAGGGTCATTTCTCATGAACATTCAGTCTGGATCTATCTTTCAGTTTTTTCTAATGGATCAACATTGAACCCCAAAGTATGTATGGGAGCGGGGGCAGATGGAGGTGGAGATACAGTATGTCTGTTTACATCCTCTTACATGTGTGTCAGTTTATGTCTGCAGGAAAAAAATGGAAAAGATTTTTACATAGTTAGTCTGGCTGAAAAAGGTCAAAAGTCCATTCAATTCAACCATTAAAAAAAAAAAAAAAAAAGTTATAATCCTATACCCACAGTTGATCCAGAAGAAGGCAAAAACACCCCAGCAAAGCATGATCCAATTTGCTCCTGCAGGGGAAAAAAATCCTTCCTGATCCCCCGAGAGGCAATCAGATATTCCCTGGATCAACTTTACCTATAAAAGTTAGTATCCAGTTATATTCTGTGTATCTAAGAAAGAATCCAGGTCTTTTTTAAAGCAATCCACTGAGCTGGCCAGAACCAACTCTTGAGGGAGTCAATTCCACATTTTCACAGCTCTCACTGTGAAGAAACCTTTCCGTGTTTGGAGATTAAATGTATTTTCCTCCAGACATAAAGAGTGCCCCCTTGTCCTCTGTGATGACCTCAGGATGAATAGCTCTAAACACACACACCCTGGACTGGACTTTATCATTGCTAATGGCTCTTTTGTCTGACTGCTCTTCCCCTGACTCAGGACTGTCTGACCACCTAGCTTTCTCTTCAATTTAGAATGAGCTGTTTCTAACACCTCCCTGTCTCGATCCGTAAATAATCACAACTGGGCTTATATTGATCAGCCCACATTTGCAAATTTTGTTACTTCCTCCCTATCCTGCATCTCCTTTTCTAACACACTTGGTGATAAAATGGATGCTCATAATCATGTGCTTTCATCTTTCCTTAACACCTTTGCCCTACAAAATCTCGAGTAGTCTCATTTTCCCATCCGGCTGTATATAATGACCACCTGCGATCAGTGAAGGCAGTGTTATGGAGACTTGAGCGTAGGTGGTGCCATTCTGGCCTGACTGTTCTTTTTCAGGTTTGGAAGGCCCATTTTTGTGACTATAAAGGTCAAATTGAGACTGCTAGATCCAACTATTTCTCCCATGCCATGGAAAACAAAATCTTAACAACCCTAGACAACTCTTCTGCACCATAGATAAATTATTAAAACCTTGTTTTCCCTCCACATCAGCCTTTCTCAACCTTTGCAATGCAGAGGAACCCTTGACATAACTTTCCAGTCTCAGGGAACCCCTGCTAAAATGACTTTGTCTACAATTCATGATACATTAGTATGAAGGTCAGTGGGAAGAATGCTCCTTACACTTGTGGTCATTGGGAAAAATTTCTTCCTTACAGATAAAAAGATCAATGGTTTCAGTGGGAACTTACCTGAGAGGCAAAAAATTGCTCAAGGAACCCCTGGCAAGCTGTGAAGGAACCCTGGTTGAGAAACCTGCTCCACATTATCAGCCTCAACACAGCTTAGTTACACATTCTTATATTTTTTTTTAATCTAGAAAATTAACAAAATGGGGCATCAAATTCTTATAACACCACATGTTTCTTCTCATCACTTTCTGACCAACCCAGTTTTATCGATTCCTCTACTTGACTCTTCCACCTGCATACTTGATCCTATTCCCACCCATTTATTTAAATTTTGTGTTAGTTCTCTATGCCCCATTATTCTCAGTATAATAACCTAAATAACCTTAGCACCGGTTTTATACCAACGATCCTCAAAACTGCCGCTATTACCATGGTACAAAGAAACCCAACATGGCTCTGAACAATTTAAACAACTTTCTCCCCATATCTAACTTACCCTTGAACAGGCTGTGACACCGAAGTTATATAACCACATGCCTTTAAATAACCTAAACTATCTGAACGCCTCCAATTTGGTTCTCACAGCACAGAAAATGCCGTGGTCAAAGTCATCAGCGACCTTCTGTTATCTTCCGATTCCAGCTCACTAACTTTTCTTATTCTACAGGATCTCAATTCTGCCTTTGATGCTGTAGACCACATTCTTTTACTCTCACCTTGAAACCCTATTTGGAGTCTCAGAATTGTCACTGAAATAATTTGTTGTATCTTACTGAATGCTATCACTTTGTTTCTATTGGCAGATTCCAGTCTGAAGTTGGTCCATTCAATTTCAGTGTTCATCAGGGCTCAATCCTGGGTCTCTTACTTTGTAGCATTTATGTGTTTCCACTAGATCAGAGGTCTCCAAACTTTATAAACAAAGGTCCAGTTTACTGTCTTTTAAACTTTAGGGGGGCCAG